GTTCACAATTAAACTCTAGTGTATAACAAAAAACATTCATCTGAAGTACGCTTAATAAAGTTTGAAAAAAGGTAAGCTTAATTCGTCAATTCTTCATACGTTTCTTAGATTTAAACTAAAACTACTGGGAAACTAGCTAGAATAACCTACTTTTTTTTTAAAAATAGCTTGAATAACTTTATTATTTTTTTATTGCTAAAATAACCTATTCTAGATTTTTTTTCTTTCATAATACCAAAATTGTTCTTCATAAACTCTGTCGAAGTATTGGCAGACTCTGCCGAAACATTGGCAGACTCTACCGATGTATTGGCAGACTCTACCAATATCTAAAAATACGCAGACTCTGCCAAAATATTGGCAGACTCTGCCGAACATTGGCAGACTCTGCCGAAACATTGGCAGACTCTGCCGAAACATTGGCAGACTCTGCCGAAACATTGGCAGACTCTACCGATGTATTGGCAGACTCTACCAATATCTAAAAATACGCAGACTTTGCCAAAACATTGGCAGACTCTGCCGAAACATTAGCAGATTCTGCCGAAACATTGGCAGACTCCGCCGAGGTATTGGTAGACTCTGCCGAGATATTGGCAAACTCTGCCGAATCATTGGCAGACTCTGCAGAAACACTGGTAGACTCTACCGATGTATTGGCAGACTCTGCCAATATCTAGAAATATGCAGACTCTGCCAAAATATTGGCAGAGTCTACCAATGTTCGGCAGAGTCTGCCAAGGACAATTTTGGTATTATGAAAAAAAAAAAATCCAAAATAGGTTATTTCAGCAATAAAAAAAATGATAAAGTTATTCTAGCTATTTTTTAAAAAAGTAAATTATTCTAGGTAAATTTTTCAAAACTAAATCATTAAATATTTAATTTTACCAATTAAAATGAGAGAGAAAATGATTCCATAACTTTTGTCTTTTGTACCTTTTTCATTTTTTCAGCTCAATTGTTCAAATGCAACTGGTGTAACATTTATAAAAATCTGCTGAATTTCTCTAAATTCCACAAATCTGCAAGTACCCGTCAGGCCCAGTGTAAGGTACTTTTAAAATTGTGGGCTTTTGCAAACAGTGATTAACCCACTTTAACAATCCTAATTGAACTCGGTTTGTTGAACAAAAAATCGAAAAAAATAAACACGGTTTTTGTTTCGGTTAAGAGAACACGTACATTTTGAAGATATTTTCAAAGGTCTGATAATTGAATCCCAAAGCAGAATCAGTTCATCAATCAGTGAA